AAATACTACAAGGAAAAAAATATAATAAAATGAGGACAAGGAACTAGTGGCCAAATTATCTAAATTAGCTTGAATCTATTGATTTAGATATATAATTATTCAATTATACATTCTCTGTAACTATAGCTATAACTATATATGTATAAATGCATGAATCGTAATCGTGTGTGTGTCTGTGTATGTATAATTTTTTAATTATAACTATATTAATTGATGATACATTTGATGAAGTCTTGTAGCAGACTTTATGTTTTGACAAAAACATAATTTACTCAAATTTTCCCTCTACTAGTAAGTATAACTATGTGACAAGTTAATTACTAACTAATAATGATCTTGAATTTTTTGTTAGATATTAACATTAAAAAAATATATATTCTTGAAATAATTAAATTTAAAATAATAAAAAATGAACGCAAAAACTTTATCAAAGTTTTATGAATTTCATTTTATTTATATGTATGTGTGTGTGTGTATATATATATATATATATAGACACATTTTATTTTGACTATGATAGAATATTTTCCTTCCTTCATTTTATCTGGACTAGAATATTTCTCTCAATATCCAAATATATAAAATTCTTTATAAAAATCAAAGATGGAAACAGCAGCAGCTACGTACGAAGCAAAGCATTATCTGTTGCAAAATTAAATGACTGATTTAGCTATGGGAATTGAGGCTATTTTTTGAGTTATGAATTGCAACCTCGGCTGACCATATATGTCTAATTCGTAGAACTAAATCCCTTGCTAAATATAAGTCTAAACAGTAACAAATATCCATTCGTTGCTGATAATTAATTAACAAAATATGTTCTTCTTAGGAGTGTGTGTGTGTGTGTGTGTGTGTATCTATGTATATGTATATGTATATGTATATGTGCTTATTAGATTAAATAAAAAAGTTTGATGTAAAGGAAAATTCCCGTTTTAGAAATATGGGCCATAAATTTACAAAATGGCTATGGACCTAGGTATCAAATTCTTACTTTCTACATTTGATTCTTTCATTAATTCGGCAACATTACATATATATACATATAGTTTGTAAGTATACTCAACCATCAAAACCACATTGAAGAGCAAACCCCACCAAACACTTAATGTTCTTTCTTAGAACTAAAACTGACCCATAAATTATTGCTTAATTACTTACCATATGCCTGCCTACCAAACACTTATAAAAAGATATGAGGTAGCTTTGGCATATTATATATGTTGATATTAACTTGGCCTTTTCTTGGGATCCTCCCTTTGCTTCAAGTTCAGCACAGACATGGCGGGAACATTAACACATCCAAACCTCAACAACCAAACTGACATAAACGATCTTGTCTCAGTTGAAAGTCCAATTTCTGATCGCTCAAGCATTTGGAAATCATTTGAACACCACTACCCACCTTGTTTTCTAAGAAAGGTCCGTTTCTTTTTATGTCTTCTATCTCTGTTAAACTTGTGTTTGTTTCTCAATAAACTGACTATTCTATCATGTAAGAAAAAACCAGGTGGCGGCGGAGGTCATAGCCACTTACCTCTTGGTGTTTGTGACATGTGGGTCGGCTGCTATCAGCGCAATCGACGAAAGTAGAGTCTCAAAACTTGCTGCTTCTGTTGCTGGAGGTCTTATCGTAACTGTAATGATATATGCAGTAGGCCACATCTCCGGTGCACACATGAACCCAGCCGTCACTCTAGCATTCGCAGCTCTTCGTCACTTTCCATGGAAACAGGTAATAGTTACTATCCGAAAAATTGTCAGTTCATAATATTTTTTCGTTAAAAAATATAACGGATTCATTAAGGTTAAACTTAAGTTAATTACTGCTGATCCAACAATATATACTGAATTATAATAAAAAATAAAAATATTAAAAACAAAGATATGATTTGATTCTCTTGTATAATATGTAAAAATAAAAAAACAAAACAGAAATTATTGGGAGAAAGAGGTTTAAGTGAGTTTTCTTTTTGTTCTTATAATTTTTCCCCCCATGTTTTTTCAACAATCATGATCGTATATATGATAAATTAATTTTTAAAATCTACCCATTTTTAGGCATGTTATCTACGTATATGTTTCACCCATGTTATATAGGAACAGTGTCATGAAATGTACACCTGGTGACAAGTACATGATAATGAAGTTAGGAGCCCAGGAGCCAGTTAAGCCACTACTCATTGGGGTTAGATGGCTTCATTAATTTTCTTGATGTTTATGGTCGAGCTTTAATTGATCACAAATAAATAAGAAAAGAATGAATTAAATGTTTGGAGAAATTATTTGAACCAAGGAAAGAAAAAAAAGCCTGAATTTGACAGGAACTTTAATCTTCTGCAATAAAAACCAAGAAATTCTAAAAAATAATATAGGGGAATCTTCATGAATGAATTAAAACATGAATGTATAGAGACAGTTGAATCTGTACAGACACCCGTCTCGTTTGAGATAAGCCTGTTGGTTGTTAAGCTATTAATTATTTCTATATAAATATATATCTATGTATATTTCAATAATTCATTCGTTCTTCAGTTATGCATTATAAAACTATTCCACTTGCAAATATATATATAGAGTTGAAGAAATTAATATCTTGTGCAGAGTGCAAATAATGCTGCAGTTGTCTATACAATACAAATATTATAAAGAAATTGGGCCAACAATTAATCATCATTCCATTAACCAAAGATTTGAAGATAAAAGTTACTTTTACGCAGATCTTTGACCTGCTATCATCATTAACAAATTAGTAAATTAATATGTAATAGGCCGAGTACTCGTTCAATTATATGACCCCAGTTAGGTAGGTATGTGGGTTTATGTGAGATGGACCCAGTTGAAGTAAAAGAGAAAGAGACTGATCAAGTCTTGGGCCAATATAAAAATAATTTCTCTTTCTATGTTTAATTTTAATTTTTTTATTGTATTAGCAGTATTTAATTTCTTTAGTTCAGATTACATGTATTGTTTTTCTAAAGTTGATGAATTAAATTTAAATTTTATTCTCCACCAATTTCTTAAAATAAACATTGTGACAAGAATTTTGGCGGATGGACAGGTGCCATTTTATGCAGCAGCTCAAGTGACAGGAGCAATTTCTGCAGCGTTTACCCTGCGGGTGCTGCTGCATCCTATTAAACTCATTGGCACGACATCACCCGCTGGATCCGATATTCAAGCTCTGATCATGGAGATCGTTGTTACCTTTTCGATGATGTTCATTACCTCTGCTGTAGCAACTGATACCAAAGCCGTACGTAAAGAACAAATTTCTTCTTTGATCTATTACGAAACAAATTAGATACTAGTGTCAATTAAAATGTGAGTTTTGCAGGTAGGAGAGCTAGCAGGTATTGCAGTTGGTTCTGCAGTCTGCATAACATCCATTTTAGCAGGGTAAGACACTTCATAACAACTTATTCATGCTTGTATGCATAACTTCAATTATTTTCACTTCCAAAATGCACTTTACATTTGGTAATGCTGGGCCAAAAGTTAGATCCTATTCAGAAAATACAATCAATATTCGATCAAACTGATGCATTAAGCCTCACTTTGCGACACTCCAAAGCTGCCCAAAAAGATGGGAAGTGTGAACATGAACTAACTAGTAAGCTGTGTTAGCAATCCACAGACCAGTATCAGGTGGATCAATGAACCCAGCTAGGAGCATAGGCCCAGCACTTGCCAGTCAGTACTACAAAGGGATATGGGTGTATTTGGTAGGACCTGTGACAGGAACCCTGCTGGGGGCATATTCCTACAATCTTATTCGAGTTAAAGATGAGCCTGTTCAGGCCATTTCTCCCCGTTCATTTTCATTCAAGCTTCGCAGAATGAAAAGCCATGAGGAGCAGATTAACATGAAAGACCCGCTCAATTCTCTGTGAAAACACCGGCTGTTGTTCCCCATCAGCTGCAATAATATCTAGGTAGCTTTTTGAAAAGCACATAAGATTCTCATATGAGTAGAAACTCTAGAGCTCCAGCGACTCTGCAAGTGAATGCTGTGAAGCCGTGGGACAAGTTGATATGAAAGCTATGTATTTTGCATCTTTTTAATACACCAAACATTTCTGTTTAACTAATTTGTAGCCAAAAAAAATTAGTTTACACAGTCCCATCAAAGGAAGATTGTCCAAGCATCTAACTTCTGAAATTTCAATGAAACTAGGCAGTGCACATTTGTTACCTTTAATCTATATGTTTTAGCAGCTTTTAGGAACCATCAAATCATCATTTTCCAGTCTTTGCCATGGTTCATGCAATTGTACCTGTAGTCTTGAAGGTACCTGAGTTGGCCATCATAGCAGCGCAACTGGTTCAAAAGTGGCTCGCAAGTAATGATCCCATGTTGGGTTTGTTTCCTAGGTAGGCAGAAAATTTACAGCTAATGAATTCTCTTCACTATAAAGTTTTACATTTACCAAGTCCAGCTGGAAGCTGGAGGAAGTAGAAAGTTATCTTGTTCAGTCGGATAGCAATACCCAGGAGACAACAGAATTTGTGGATACATACAATAATCAATAAATACCAATGGCAATTCCAAATAACATTGGAGTCGTTGGAGCCAACATCCAATCTGAACTTTATGGGGCTTGGAGAGCCAGATGCATTTTTAAAATAATCTTGATTATATGATGCTTAACAGAAGAAGATAGGAAAAATAAAAGTCTCATGCAAAAATCCAAAGTCATTTTAAGGTAGAAAAAAGTGCAACCACAATTAAAGAATTCAAACTTGATAAGCAAGCGACAACTAGTGCTCCTGAGGGAAAATGTACATACATAAAAGTTAATTGGACCAGTCATCCAATTTATGAAAACTTATAAGGGAAATTTGATCAGACTGAAAAATAACACCAGTAGATTTTAAGTTAAAATCTGGTGTTTAGTCCACAATTTGGCATCTTTGCTTGTATATTGAAAAGCACTCATCCAAAAATTGAGAATATCTATGCATACTTGAATCGAAGACAGCAGCAATTGCTTGACAGTACGAATGATAATTCTCAAGAGGCCCATTGATGTATTGAGTGAAAAAGTACTTCTCCTATACCAAAAGAAGATGCAGTTTAACTATAAATGATCCATATAAATGGAATTTTTACACATACTTTGTTTAGATGCCAGCTTTATTTTTTCTTTAAAAAAAGCATAAAAACTAAATAATTGGTAGTGATTTTGATTATTCAACTATTTCTTTAACAAGAAGGAAGATTTATAATAGAATCTAACAGGAATAACATATCATAAGCTGCTATATAGAAGGATTACCAGTCAGTTAATCCGAATCTTCACTTTCAGGATCAGGAAATCTGCGGAACCGAGCTGATAACCGGAAATATGAAATTTCACGCTTATTTGAAATTTTAGATCTCTTCCGCTTAGCTGTAAAACCTTTTCCTAGAAGTGAATCGAACAATTCACCCATGTACATTTCCTTTTTCAAACCACCACCTTCAACCAGGAAACTATGAAATCACCATGCACAAAAAATGGCAAATGATATCAGGGATAATATAAAAGACTGAACGAAAATAAAATAAATGCAACAAATTCCCTCTCTCCCTGTCTCTCTCGTATTGGAGTGAAAAGAAGAAACCATACCCTCATCTCCTATCTCATACAACTCCCTTCAAAAACATAAGACAATATACTGGAAAAAAAATTATGCTATTTTCACTTGGCTGAAATAGTATAATGGCACCTCTAAAAACTATCACATATAAACACGATATACCTTGCTGCTTATCTAGGAAAAATTAAGTAGCTTCAAAGATCAAGATTATTCACGAGATTTACTAGTTTCTCTTATTAGTTTCTCCTATTAGTAGTATGAGATCTTATTATATTAGGTACTTTATTTGCATGCTTTCATTGTTAAGTTGCTGCCTACTATCAAGAACACTTATAGCATGGTTTCAGTCATGGTTATTATTTTTTGAGAAGGCTTTCTATGATTTTTACTGAATAATATTGATAATTCTTTGAGATCCCCAAATTTTTTGTTCCTTGTTAATTTCTCCTCTAGATAGGAGAGAGGACGGGAGAGGGGGGAGGGGGACCTTATCGATCTAAATTGATTGGAGAAGTTACCAAGGGGATAAGCCGCTTGATCAGTTCTATGTAAGCAACATCCACAGTTTACTAACTTGAGACTGAGAAGCATCGATCATCTTTAATATGATTTCAAGAAAGATAAATAAAAAGGAAGAGAATAAATCATGGAACTAGAAATCCGAACTATAAGAAATCAGTTGAGAACATGAATTCCGGCACATGTTTAATGAAATAATGTTTCGATGAGCAAAAAAAAAAATAGAAGCCTCACCGTTCTCGAATGATTTTAAATGCCTCTTTTGTTGCATATGGTAAGCCGGTCCTTGGATCACGATACCTACAATATTACATGACAAATCAAACATAAAGGAAAAAGCTAGACCTTCGTGTACTAACTGCAAGCTCATCTACTGCAACTTTGGATTTTCTTGTGAGAACACACTCTCAAACAAAATGACCAAGAAGAACTCCTGCTGTTTCAAAAGTCAGTTTTTTTTTCTTCCCTAACATTTCAATTTATATTACAGCTGAATAATATCATGCAAAAAGTAAAAACCTTAACCGTTTTATAACTAGAATTAAATATGCCTGAAATTTTTGTTATTTAACCATCTATACATGAACTGGGGTTTCCAAAACATAGCATGTTGTTTAGGATATTTTCCAAGAGAACAATCAGATACTACATCAACCTAACTATCATTTTTCCTGGTTTCCTTCGGACATATGACCGAGCATACTTCTTCTCTTGAGAAAAAGAATAGCACAAACAATAAGCACTTTGACCAGTGATTCATCAAAAGACATCACCATTATAGGTGCCCAAAATCATCATTACAACTCTATGTCTGCGCTCACTGTTTTCTCTGTAAAGAAGACCTTAACACAAAAACCTAAATGACATACAATACAAAGGTATGCTCTTACTTGGCAGGTAGTCCAGTAATTGCACAAACAGCCTTCTCAGGATCTGAAAGAGAACAAAATATATTTTATGGAGAATTCGACAAATATAAATTAGAGGATCCCTATTAGGGCCAAATCTTTTGCCAATTTCATAAAACTCGTGTCAAGGATTCTACGACCCTTATCAGCTTCAACAGGCACCATAACTGCATATTTGAGACAAGATTGAGAGAGAAAAAACTGAGAGAAAACATAAAGACACTCCTACCCTCCTTTTAAAAACAGAAGTTATCATCGAAAAGCATTTAACTTAAATTACATGGAGCACGTGTGGTTGAGATCTCTGACTGAAATGAGGCTCCTTCTCTGAATTCCAGATATGAACAACTTAAAAAATATTTGGAAATGGAAAAGATAAAGCAGATTAATTGTCCCAAAAAGAATTATAAAATAATGATGCCATGAATTTTTTAATTTACATATTCAATTCAACGTTTCTAGCAAAATAATTTGTATGAATAAATAGTTATGTAAAAGCTTACCATCTTTGGAAACATAACGTATCTGAGGGCCATTGTAGACTGCTTTATGCACTATTGCTCTTTTCTTAACTTCCTCTTCCCGTGCCAAAACACGCTCCAAATTCCTTAAGTTTACGATTTCTGCACAGGTAAAATCCGAGCATATTACTGCAGATCAACTAATAGGCAACAACAGGGATGTCAAGAATTTTAAGCTAGGTATCCAGCGTGAACCTGTTTGTGCTGCTTCCAAAAGCATCTCTTCCTGGGTCATCTTCTTCTCCTCGCCTTCCTTTTTTCTTTTTATGGGCTGTCAAAAGTACAAAAATTTCAGGATGATAAACTGTGTTAAGAGCAACAAATTCTACCACCCCGGCCCCCTATTCCTTCAAGAAAACAAAAAGAAAAAAATATATTGGTATGAGGTTACCAAAAGCATGAAGTACAAGTAGCAATGCGAGGGAGATGCAAACACAAAACAAGGCAACAATAACTCATACAGGAATATGTATAAATATGAGTAAAATGCTGTTGAACATACATTTAAAAATTTTTGAGACAGCCAAATTCTAAGTCATATATGTTTAGTATTGTAGTAACATCATAGCTGCATAATCCAATTCCAATCTACAAAGCAGACTGGATAGAGTTTGACCATTATAAACACTTGAAATTTCAAAAGAAGTTACAAATGCACGAGAAATGAACTGTTAACAAAACCTGAAACCAAAATTTCACTTGATCACTTAATATGCTACCTTTCTCTTCAATCCAAAGGGAATAAGCATGTTAGCATCACCAAGGCCACCCAAATCTTCTCTTTCTGATTAACATCAACATACTCTTCTCACATAGAATGCATTAAGTACCCACACCCGCATACAACATAGAAATACAGACAGAAAAGTGTGCATAAAATCTAAACATGCAGACTGCAACACAAAAGAATGTAATAATTCACACAACAGCTGGCAGTGTCTAATTTAGGTCAGCTTGGAAATCTCAGCAGCAGTAACAACAGTATCCCTAGGATAATGACCGAGGCAAATGTTCTTCATCATGACCAAATTAAAGTAAGTAAACATTCACAAATATCATTACCTCAAAAGGTGTGGCCATTCATCACGACCACAACATCATTAAAAAAAGAACTACTAACTTATAATTTTGAGTATGACCAGCAACAAGATGTTAAGCTACCAAATAATAATGGTGGTCCAATATCCACGACTAACCTTTATTGTTGCTTGTAAAGCTGCCTGTATTGCATCTCTTTCCGCTTGCCTAACAATTACTGAAGTTCTTGTAGACTTCCTAATCACTCTCTCACCTTTTGCATCATCAGCGGTATCATGGTGTTCAGGATGGGTAGACTCTTCAGCTGGTGTTTCATCCTTAGAAGTGATATCTAATCTTGAAAGGACTTTCTTTTTCTTTTTCTTCTTCTTTTTCTTTGTTACAGGCTTCCCAGGAAAAATCAATCTCTTCTTTGTCTGAACCCTATAACAAAAGTCAAGATTGAGAAAGAGATACAATTTTGAAATTCAGTATCACTGGCTTTGGGCCAAAAGGGAATAACCTTTCCTCTGCTTCATTCTCTGCCTCCTCCTCTGGTTCAGGTTCCTATCACCAACAAAAGCCAGTAGAACAAGATTTTTCTTAGATGAAAAGAAAGTCTAAGTAGATAAACAATAATGGCTGATAACAAAGGGAAAAAGAGTGAATAAGCAGAAAGGAAACAATTTGACAAAGAAAATTTAGCTTTTATTTAAAACTATGCAATAGAAGTACAAAGTACCCACATCCTCGTCGAAATCACTATCAAACTCATCAACAACCTCTGGTTCTTCTTCATAATTATCATCATTCTCTTCCTGAGAAACAAAAGTTAAATACGGATAAATAATGGAGAATGCTCTAGAGAATATTCTGCCCATGTAGATTCATCAAATATTCAAACCAGAGAAAAATAAGTGGACATACACAACAGTCTTTTCTATAACCTGCATATCTTTGTCAGCCCTAAATTCTTAGGACAAGATCAAGGTAGGTCAAAAAAGATGCATGCAATTAGAACTTTTGAGATGCAAAGAGAACAAATGAATAATCAAAAGAGGCATAAGCTTTAGAAAATTATGATTGTACAAAAAAATGTATAAGAAAGTGTCAGAGAGTCTCTGTTTATTCTAAAATCATGAAAGGGGGTTTCAATTCATAAGTCAACATCACTTTATACAAAATATTGGACGATAATATAGTGCACTAAACACCTCTTTAAGAGCATCTTGATTCCAGAACGACTCATCGTCTTCAATTTCCTCATCAAGCAACTTGGTCATCCTGAGAGCAAAAGAGGTGTCAATAAAGTCCATAATATAATTCGAGCAAAAACCCTTATTCATTACTACTACTTTGGTCTACATCCAAAAGAGAATTCAATGCATGGAATTCCTCCTATGCAATAGCAGGAATAAAGAATCCATTATAAACAATCAAAACTGCATATTCTTACCGTTTCCCTCTTGTTGCTCGAGCAGCACGGTCAAGCAACAGAGGTGGCTCTTCTTTAGAGGTCTCCATGATGACTCCTTGAATTTTCTTCTCTTCTACCATTAAAAATATTTGGAATTAGGACTTTGCTACAGCAGCACATAAGTAGTAACAACTAAACTATAGTCAACACGCAAAAGAAAAAAAGAGAACAAACCTTATGAAGTTTGGTCCATTCCACATTCAATCTTCTTGTCCCATTATTTTTGTCTAATTATTAACTTATCCTTGGTATTAGAATGAGAACACAATTTATATGTCTCAATTATTTTCACTCCTACCTTAAAAATCTATTCCCACTCTCCAAAAATAGGACTTGGGATTTCATCCTAAGGAATGTTAAGTTAAGAGTGGAAGCGATGAAAATAGAAACAAAAATTTCATCGAAGAAAGTAATTCAAAATTGGACATTATAATCTCATCCGTGTCGAGGATATGTCATTACTAAACTAGAAAGAATAAGAGAAGGTTTGAACAGTAATTAAACCAAAAACCATATACTTTCATCAGTTCTTCAAACAAGTAGCTGTACTTCCAATATCTTTCAACATCTAGAAGTTTTTAACTGTTTCAGATTAAGACCCTCCCGGATGTTTCTTGATAAACCGCACCGAAAATGCATCATCACACACTTTACAGAATAATATTCTTGTTAAGTGCCAAAACAACCCTCCCCATATGCCTCTCTCATCCTTGACTTTGAAAAGAAAATTTTCATCAAGGCATTTTAACAAACAACTTGTACGCAGCAGTAACTGACGCCATTCCAGAGACATACGAATCAAATTTACATAACATTTTAATTTTATTTTTCAAAAATTGATTTCATTGCAAAATAAATAAAACCCAACTATAACTAATGATCCTTAACTATTGTAACGAAACTTTAAAGGTCAAGTAAGATAATGATTACCAAGAACAGGAGTATACTCCTAACGGAAAAACACAGCTAGAGTTAGGCAAACGTGAACCGATCCTTCAAAAATCTATAGCATTCCCTTTCACTTTGCTTTGGTTGTGGTCTGGTTGCTGATCATAAAATCGAAAGGACAACAGAGTTTGTGCTTCTTAGGAGGTATATGGTGTGAGGAGGTTGTGACATGAGAGGAGCTTCAAGGATTAAATAGTTAATTATGCGAGAGAAGCTAAGAGATCTCTGAGTGGGGTTGATCTCGGTGTTCGTGGTCTGATAGAGAATTTGTGTGGCGCTGCCAATCCTTTTACTTGCTTGCCAGACAGTAAGAACTGAACATAGCTTCCCGCCAGAGAGGAGAAAGAGAAGAGGCAGAGACGGAAGTGTTGGTTTCGTCTTTCTGCGCGCTCGTACAGGTGCGAACGCAATCAGCTTTGTAAAAAGAAATGAATAAATAAATAAATTATATGATACTACTCCAAGAGCTCGTTGTTATAGTTCAGTCCCGCTAACATTATATTTACTATAAACTATTAAAATCATATTTATTTTGAATTTGAAAAACAATCATTGAAGATTAATATTTACATTAAATAAAATTAACGGAATGAATAGATAGTTTAAACTATAATTAGAGTAATTGAGAAAAATATTGTTATTTAAATAATAGTTAATTTTTATTATTGTATAATCTTTTTATTTTAATATTTATTATTAATTCTAAAACACTAAAAATATGAGATCCTAGTTTATATTAAAAAAATATTTATATAATATTAAAATTAAAATTACTAAAAATTATTAATAAAACATTTATCAACTCAAGTAATAAGGAGAGGTTGAATCTTGAAGAATCATGAATGTACATGAGGCATTGGAGTACCATTATTTGCCTTATTATAATGATAATAAAAATCAATAAAAGATGGTTACAAAATATTTTAATTTCTTCCCCTAATCACACATTTTCTCCAAATCAGTAATAAAAATGTTATGAAAAGATTTAACAAAAAAATACATTAATGCTATTGCTGATCATTATTAGCCTTTAGCCAAAAGAAATCTTGGATCTGAGTAACTGATATCTGGAAGTTACAGAGTTCGCCATTTGATTACTAGTTCATTAAATACACGACCAACAGGACTGTCAATATATATATATATATATATATACACATTGAAAGTGCTTAAATATGTAACTTCGGAGTTATACACTAATAACCATACAACTACTACATCAAGCAGCCTTTTCACACACCACAAAACTCCCAGGATTTATAGTAATGCTTTTGGTGCAGTTATCGGTCTTGTATATTCCAACAAGTCGATCTGCCAACTCAAACATGTTGTTTCTAAGGCTGCAGGTACCAAAAATGCATTAGATTTTATTAAAAGGAAAAAAAGAAAAACAAAAGATGTTGCTTGATAGAATTCACTTGGGAGGGAGAGAAGAGGGAGATTCAAACTACCTAATAATTATAAATTGAGCATCCTTAGTCCGGTCCTTCACATAATGTCCCACAATAGAGACATTCTTGAAGTCTGAAGCACAAAACAAAATAGGCATGAAAAATACGGAAAGATCTGGATAACATAGTAGGAGGAATTAAATACATGATATGATAAGTACCCAGAGCAGCATCAATTTCATCCATTACATAAAGTGGGGTAGGTTTGTAGTGATGGAGTGCAAATACAAGAGCCAATGAGCTAAGAGTCTGAAAAATGTTGGACAGCTTGTGTTAGAGAACCAAAACGTGAAGATAGCACGTCCAGAATCCAAGGCCAAATAATTGAACGAAATATATTTGGAACTAACCTTTTCACCACCAGATAAATTTGCAATATTTTTCCAACTCTTTTTAGGAGGTCTAACACTGAAAACAACACCTTCAGAAAACGGATCCAAAGAATCAACAAGTTCAAGTTCAGCATCACCTCCAAGAGTAATCATCTGCGACAGCTCAGTATGTACAAAAGGCAAAGTTACAAAGAAGAGATAACAGAGACATGCAATTCATCAGAATATGATATAGGCAGCATTGAGATGAAATTCTCAATTGGTTGCAAATAGGCAAGGTTTCTGTTGAAACTACTAAGGATTAGTGTACTTCTATTAAAAAGGCAAAACACCACAGAGCCGACAAAGAAGTAGCTCCGCATCTTTCTGGTGCCAACAAAGAAGTAGCTCGGCACCTTCTGGCCATTTAACCAACGCAGTAAACAATAACAAATAAGAAAGAGACTCATTTGCACAAATAAAACCATTCAAATGCAAGGCATGTTTCCATAAGACATTAGATAACATTTGGTAAATGAATGAACAGAGTAGGATAAAACTAAACACGGTCGATAAAAATGGTACATACAGGACTATACTGGATAAATTGGTTATATTAAATGTTTAGTAATCAATAAAAAGTACAAAAACATGTAGCTGATTACTAAAATGTTTTTTGTATTCTTTCCTTTTTAATTTTTCAGTTTTAGTGAATAATTTAATATTTTTAGTATTTATACAAAAATATCAAATTCAAATTAGTTTTAAACAACTAACATTACTTAAAAATTTGATAATTAATTTTTAAGAAAAAAATTGAATTATTCATATTAATAAATTATCGACACCAAAATTATCATTTTATTTTTTATAATTAATTTTTAAGAAAAATACCAAACTATTCTTACTAATAAATTATTCATTTGTAAGATATACAGGGATTATATCAATGATTGATATGTGAGTATACAATTAATCTTGTAAGATATATACTATTTTGTTAAAGTGATTATTTATATTAAAGATAAATTATAATTTAGAATAATTAAAAAAGATGAGCATTTTGATCTTTTAAGAGTTTTAGATGTGTACCAAAAATTAGAACAAATTAGTTCCACCAAAAAGAAGGAAATTTTTTGTTTCACTTTGTCATTTTGAATTTTCTATTGTTTTGTTCCTTATTTTTTGCTCCCAAACATAGACCTGAAGACTTTTTAACAGTGTTCCGTCCCATCAAATTTCTCTTGCCAAACACTACCATAGAGATCAAAAGGTTAGCAGACAAACCTGATACATCTCTTTCAGCTTCAATGATATTATGTTAAATCCTGCCATGAATTCATCCAACCTAACAGTAATTCACTTTAGAAGTAAATTATTGAAAAGAAATAGAATAAAAGACATCTATATAAGTTTTTTAAGGGAAAGCCGTACCTCTTCTTTCTCCATTCATCATATTGCTTCTTTATATCATCACGTTCCTGAGTAACCATGCTAAGTTCTTCAACTCGGTCATTGTACAATGACACCTTTGTCCGATATCTATAATAATGAACACTTATAGTGAATTGCTCACCAGAATATCAATTAAAATCTTCAAATATCAAAGAAAAAACAATTAGAGATGGCAATGAGGCAAATTCAGGCTGAATTCAAGTAAATCAGTTCCAGGTTTTGGGTGATTCAGATTCTAAGGTCATTCACTTCTTTAATCATTCAGGTTTCAAATTAATTGAGTTTCATCTCACATGTATATCAAGTTTTGTGAATATTGAATTAATTGAGTTCACTTCAGCTTTCAGGGCTTTTTTTCCATCGCAAAAAGAATTCATGTTTTTCTAAGTTCCATTATTTCACATTTTGTCTTGGTAAGGACTGATCCAAATGGTGGCAAGTTTTCACTTTTAGATTTGGAGCTTAATTGTAGTTATCTTTTGGATTTTCAAGTTCTTCAAGTTTTAAATTATCTGTGCTAGTTAATTTTGGGTTTTCTAGTATTGCAGCCATGTCATTCAAGTTGTGTTATTCACAGTTATGGCTATTCAAAATTTCATATTGTTTAGATAACAATTTATTTCTGTTCAGATTATTCGGATTTCATATTGAGTCAATTTGAGTCAAGTCAGATTAGAATTTGGGCTGGTTGATTCAAGACAACAGGATGGTGTCAGGTTTTTTCATTGCTAAACATTAAGGAAACTTACTCTGCAATTGATTCAAGATTTGGAGTCATCTCCTTCAACTGCACTTCCAACAAAGCTACCATTTCAATGGCCTGTTTTAGGTCGCTATCCTGATTTAGACTATCGTCCATCAAGGTTGCTTGAAGCTTCTCAGGGTCCACTAGATCTTTCTGAATTCTGCAACCAATAAGATACAATATAAGATCTCTTAAAGCCATACAACCATCCTCATGTCAAGATATTTTCCATTAACATACTGCTTCATGTGCTTTGTGAGAGCAATCTGCAAGTCCTCAAGCCTTTTCTTGTATCCCTTCCCTTTCATTTCCAACTCCTTGTACATTTTCTTCATGTCTTGTAATTTGAACTCTCGGTCAACCTATGATGCCAATGATTACTAGACATGACATTTAAATTTCAGCAAATCAAGAGAAGATTACAAATGAAGTATATTATTGACACATACCTCTGATGTTCGCAACTCATCCACACTTTTCTTTACTTTTTCATAATTGACCTTTGCTGAGTCTAATACAACTTTGTGTTCATCAATCAACTAACAAAAACATAAAGGAAAAGAAAAGGAAAAAAGTTGCAAACCACAATGAATATTCTTTCTAATCCATCACTTTGAGGTGAAAGAGGGAGGAGAGTTACAACCTTCTGTGTCTCCTTATATTTCTCTTGAACCTTAAATGCTTTTTGCTCTATTTCTTTGAACATTTCCCGCAGTCTTTCATTCTCTGAAGAGAGCCGATCTCTCTCCTTCTTGGAATCCTCAATCCCCTTTGTTAACTTCTTTATCATTTTTTGACCTGTTTCTATTTGAACTCTGTGATGGTTGATCTCTGTGCTATTCTTGTCAATATCCTACTCAATTGATAACTTTGCTTAATATAAACACTCAGAAAAAGAAATTAGAGGAAAAGAAATGTATGCCACAGTAACGCCTCACTTACAGATTGAATCTTATCAACCTTTGCTTTTTGTATTTTTAACCTTTCACCGCCGGCGTTTTCAATTTTACTCTGTAGCTCAGAAGCCTAAAAAACAGAGATAGAGATAAACGTGATAGTCTCCTTCATTATCTTTGCTTTTACATAAATATAAAACACGCAAAAGAATTACCAAGCAGAAATCAGGATGAACACTAACAGGGATACAAGTAGATATACTGCAACATATTTGAAAAAGACATGGCTTAGTTGCAATTTAAATAGCACAATTGGCAATATCACCGCACCTTCTCCTTCAGTTGCTTAGACCCCTGTATGAGACGATCAATCTCCTTTTCTTCCGCAGAAACAATTCTGTTGAGCTCTTTGAGTCTGTCAATCTCTTCCTTCTTCGGTTGGGATGCAGCTTCCAAGGAACTCAGTTGGTTTTCAAGATAACCATGCTCTGACTTCAAACTGTCAATCTGTTGATAGAAAAGTATAATTCCATTTAATAAATCCTGGATTCTACAAATGAGATATATCTATAATCTAGAACAAACAGAACCTCTTTCTGCCCTTTTGCTAATTCCATCTCCAGGTGTGCAGCTTCTTTTTCTGTAGCTTGGTATTGTCTTACTGTATCAGCAATTCTTTGGCGGATGCTTATTAACTTATCAACCATTCCGGAGAGCTCCTTCTCAGCATTCTCAACAGCTTCTCCAGATACGCTAGTGGCTCGAATAGATGTCCCTATCTTCCCACCACGTGGCTTACTTCCTCCACCACTCATAGTACCGGATTTTTCGAAAAGAGCACCATCAATAGTAACCACGCGTCGAAATTCTCTGTTTCCACCATATGCAATGCGTGTTGCCTATACAAAATGCAATTTGTAGGCTTATCAAAATCATCCTTCATAACAAACCTCTGAAAATATTACTAAGCTCTACCATTTCAGTTATATTTTTTGGAGATGATCAAACACACGATGTAGCAAAACAACCACTCAAAAACCTAACATGCATAAACCATTTCATAATCAACATATGATAAAAGAAGTTCATCCTGTTTGTCAAAGAAAACTCTATTGTAAAACTACTTGAAAATGGTAAATGACTTGACAAAATAATTGTTCCTA